TTGTCAGGTCAGCTGTTTCTGGGGGTTAAACCAGCCCAGTCTTAACCCCTTTGCTCATCAGTCCTCCCTCTCTGTCACTGGATTCCTTGAGTTCAGCTCAGTGTTTAGCTGTGGGAGTCTGCCTCTACTTCCATCAGCCATTGAATGAAGGTTCTGTTTCCCAGACTCTTTGGCCATGGCATTGTAGGCTGGCACTCCCCAGATCTATGTCTAAAATCCATATAGGAGAGAGTACATGTCATGTTTCTCTTTTTGTGACTGGGTTACCTCACTCAGGATGGTTTTTTCTAGTGCCATCCATTTGCCTGCAAATTTCTGGATTCCATTGTTTTTTTTTTCTGCTGAGTAGTACTCCATTGTGTAAATGTGCCACATTTTCTCTATCCACTCTTCGGTTGAGGAGCATCTAGGTTGCTTCCAAGTTCTGGCAATTACAAATAACACTGCTATGAACATAGTGAAACAGATGTCCTTGTTGTATGAATGTGAATCTTTGGGATATATGCCTAAGAGTGGAGTTTCTGGGTCTTGTGGTAGGCTTATTCCCATTTTTCTGAGGAATCTCCATACTGATTTCCAAAGTGGCTGTACAAGTTGGCACTCCCACCAGCAGTGGAGGAGTGTTCCCCTTTCACCACAACCTCTCCAGCATAAATTGTCTTTGGTGTTTTTGATTTTAGTCATTCTGACAGGAGTAAGATGGTATCTTAGAGTTGTTTTGATTTACATTTTCCAAATGGCTAAGGATGTTGAGCACTTTCTCAAGTACCTCTCAGCCATTTTAGACTCCTCTATTGAGAATTCTCTATTTAGTTCTGTAGCCCACTTTTTAATTGGATCTTTTGGTGTTTTGGAGACTTGCTTCTTGAGATCTTTGTAAATTTTGGAGATCCCTCTGTCAGATGTGGAGTTAGTGAATACCCATTCTGTGGGCTGCCTTTTTGTCTTGCTGACTGTGTCCTTTGCCTTACAGAAGCTTCTCAGTTTCAGGAGGTCCCATGTATCAATTGTTGACATCACTGTCTGTGCTACTGGTGTTACATTCAGGAAGCTGTCTCCTGTACCAATTCGTTCAAGGGTACCACCCACTTTCTCTTCTAAGAGGTTCAGTGTGGCTGGATTTATGTTGTGGTCTTTGATCCATTTGGACTTAAGTTTTGTGCATGGTGATAGACATGGATCTATCCGCATTCTTCCACATGCCAGCATCCAGTTATGCCAGCACCATTTGTTAAAGATGCTTTCTTTTTTCCATTGTATATTTTTAGCTTCTTTGTTGAAGATCAGATGTTCATACATGCATGGGTTAATATCAGGGTGTTCAATTCGATTCCATTGGTCTATTTGTCTATTTTTGTGCCAATACCAAACTGTTTTCAGGACTACAGCTCTATAACAGAGCTTGAAGTCAGGGATGGTGATGCCTCAAGATGTTGCTTTGTTGAGTAAGGTTGTTTTGCCTATCCTGGGTCTTTTGTTTTTCCGTACAAAATTGACTAATGTTCTTTCAAGGTCTGTGAAGAATTGTGCTGGTATTTTAATGGGGACTGCATTGAATCTGTAGATTTCTTTTGGCAGGATTTCCACTTTTACTACATTGATCCTACCTATCCAAGAGCATGGGAGATCTTTCCATTTTCTGAGGGCTTCTTTAATTTCTTTCTGTAAAGACTCAAAGTTCTTGTGATACACGTCTTCCACTTATTTGGTTAGACTTGCCTCAAGGTATTTTATGTTTTTACGATGTTTGTGGCAATTGTAAAGGGTTTCTCTGATTTCTCTTTCAGCCCTTTTATCATCTGTATATAATAGGGCTACTGATTTTCTTGAGTTGATCTTGTAGCCTGCCACTTTGCTGAAGGTGTTAATCAGCTGTAAGAGTTCCCTGGTAGAGTTCTTTGGGTCATTGATGTAAACTATCATATCGTCTGCAAACACTGAAAGTTTGACCTCTTCCTTCCCAATTTGTATCCCCTTGATCCCCCTTTGTTGTCGTATGGCAATAGCTAGAACTTCAAGTACCATGTTGAAAAGGTATGGAGAGAGTGGACAGCCTTGTTTTGTTCCTGATTTTAGAGGAATTGCGTTGAGTTTCTGTCCATTTAGTTTGATGTTGGCTGTTGGTTTACTGTATATAGCTTTTATTATGTTTAAGTATGTCCCTGTTATCCCAGATCTCTCCAAGACCTTTATCATGAAGTGGTGTTGGATTTTGTCAAAGGCTTTTTCTGCATCTAGTGAGATGATCATGTGATTTTTGTTTTTCAGCTTGTTTATATGGTGGATTACGTTGATGGATTTTCGTATGTTGAACCATCCCTGCATCACTGGGATGAAACCTACTTGATCGTGGTGAATGATTGTTTTGATGTGTTCTTGGATCCGATTTGCCAGTATTTTATTGAGTATTTTTGCATCAATGTTCATGAGGGATATTGGTCTGAAGTTCTCTTTCTTAGTTGTATCTTTGTGTGGCTTGGGGATCAAGATTATTGAAGCCTCATAGAAAGAGTTTGGCAAAGACCCTTCTGCTTCTATTGTGTGGAACACTTTGAGAAGAATTGGTATAAGCTGCTCTTTGAATTTCTGGTAGAATTCTGCACTGAGGCCATCTGGACCTGAGCTTTTTTTGGTTGGGGGACTTTTGATGACTACTTCTATTTCCACAGTGGTTATAGGTCTATTTAAATTGCTTATCTGTTCTTGATGGCAATTGATAGCTATCCAGAAAATTGTCCATTTCCTTTAAATTTTCTAATTTTGTGGAGTACAGGTTTTCAAAGTATGACCTGATGATTCTCTGAATTTCCTCAGAGTCTGTTGTTATGTCCCCCTTTTCATTTCTGATTTTTGTTAGTTTGCATGTTCACACTCTGCTGTTTGGTAAGTTTGGACAAAGGTTTGTCTATTTTGTTGATTTTCTCAAAGAACCAACTCTTCATTGCATTAATTCTTTGTATTGTTTTCCTAGTTTTTACTTTATTGATTTCAGCCCTCAGTTTGATTATTTCCTGGCATCTACTCCTCCTGAGGAAGTTTGCTTCTTTGTGTTCTAGAGCTTTCAGCTGTGCTGTTAATTCTCTAGTATAACTGTTCTCCTGTTTCTTCATGTGGGCACTTAGTGCTATGAACTTTCCCCGTAGCACAGCTTTCAAAGTGTCCCATAGGTTTGTGCATGTTGTGTCTTCATTCTCATTGAATTCTAGGAAGTCTTTAATTTCTTTTTTTTATTTCTTCTTTGACCCAGGAATGGTACAATTGTGCATTATTCAATTTCCATGTGTTTGTAGGGTTTCTGCAATTTGTGTTGTTGAATTCTAATTTTAACGCATGGTGGTCTGATAAGATGCATGGAGTTATTCCAATTTTTTTCTAGCTGCTGAGGTTTGATATGTTGCTTGAATCTAGTTTTGTCATGGAATATCTTATTTTCTCCATCTATAGTGATTGAGAGCTTTGCTGGGTATAGTAGTCTGGGCTGGTATCCATGGTCTCTTACTACTCATAGAATATCTATCCAGGTCCTTCTGGCTTTCAGAGTTTCCATGGAGAAGTCAGGTGTAATTCTGATAGGTTTGCCTTTATGTGTTACTTGGCCTTCTTCCTTAGATGCTCTTAATATTCATTCTTTATTCTGTATATTTGGGGTCTTGATTATTATGTGACGAGGGGACTTTTTGTGTGAGAATCTTAACTTGTATGAGAATAATTCTGAGCATTTTGACAAATCTCTGTTGCTGCATGACTGTACACCATTGTTTCCAAGAGCTCTCACTCCCACGAATCCTACCCTGCTTCTTGCAGTCTCTCTTCCTACATACCCAAACCACTGTTTCTTGTAGTTCTTGCTCCTTCTAGGACTCGAGTGGCTTGAGTCATATATCACATAGTCTTTGTGTCTGACTTTTTTGTGTCAAATGATGTTTGGGAAATACATGTCATACTTTGCTTATTGACCAGTTTGTAGGAGCCGTGAAGAGGGCTCAGAAATTCAGAGCACTTGTGCTCTAATCATAAGGACTAGAATTAGGATCCAAGTACCCATGTATCAAGCCAGATATCCCAGCAATGCCCATAACCCTAGCTCCAAGGTAGATAGAGACAGGAAAATCACTGGGCTTTCTGGCTTCCTTCCAGTCTAGCTGAGAACAATTCAAGCCCAGACTCAGGAGGGTACCCTGCCTCATAAGGATCAGGCAGAGAGTGATGGAAGACAACACCGACTTCTGGCCTCCGTGTGTATTCACAGGCATGCATGCTCACAGAAGCAGGCACAAACACGTACACAGACCACACATAAATATACAAATCTACTGGTCGGTGGTCATTGAAATTTACATGTTTTTAAAGAATGTTTTAAATTTATGTGTGTGTGTGTGTCTTCATGTACCAATTTATGTGTCCCACAGGCAGACAGGTGACTCTAGAGGCTGGATGAGGACATCAGATCCCCTAGAACAAGAATTACAGGTATAGGGTGATAGAAACCTTACCTGGATGCAGCCCCTTTATGGGTTTTGACAATTATGAGCATTTGTGTGGCATTCTTTCGGTGGGCTTATTTTTTTCAGTTCACTTGGATGAATAACTAGAAACAAGATTTCTGGACTGCTTATACAGAGTGCTCTTTGCACTTTAGTAGAACTCTAACACTGTTTCCAGAGTTTGGATGCCATTTTTGCATTCCCACCCCCGGTATAAGAGATGCTCGTTGCTTTGCATACTCAGATCTTTACTACTAAGTCTTGTGGATAGAGTCCTGTTCCCCAAATAGATAGCTAGCCCTTCCAGTTTGCTACATGACTAGCCCCAGGCCTGCTTTATGGTGAAACTATGATGCTATATGTGGGTCTGACCATTGGTGATATCCTAAATAAAGACAAGTTAATATGTGACCACAGATGCTGATAGATACAGACTACTGGCAATGCTTTTGACTGTCCCCTAAGCAGATTTTTAATTAATGCACACAACAGACAAAATATGTTATGGTTTTTCAGGCTGTTTGATCATTCCATGGAAGGGTTTAAGAACTGGGAGTTCATGACCATTCACTGCTGGGGAGAGCGGGCTGCTGGTGACTGGATCCTTGAAGTTTATGATACTCCATCTCAGCTGAGGAACTTCAAGACTCCAGGTGAGAAATCATTTCAAGTCCATCTGTGTTGCCGAAGGAAATGGTGGACTGTATTTGCACCAAAGATTGTTCCACACTTGCCCTACTCTAATTGCTTTGGCTGTAACAACAATCTGACACTGTTACTTCATAAAGAAAAAAGGTTTGTTTACCTCGCCGTTCTGGCAGCTCCTTTAGCATCCTACTCTCTCCAGAACTAATTCACCCCTGCAGGGACCATCATTAATATATTGATGGAGCTGGAACCCCTTAGTCTGACTACCTGCCGGTACGCTCCGCCTCTTAAAGCTGCACTGTGTGTGGAGCAGGCCTTCAGTGCATAAACGCTTAAGTGATGTGTCCCAACCATGTCCTGACAGCATCCTGGAGCAGTGTCACCATTCTGTGTGTGACTCATTTCATACACATTGGATTGCATACACATCTTCCAGTTCTCAAGTCCTCAATAAAATGGGATGATTTAAGAACATGAAATAAAGAATAAACATTTAGGTATAAACGAAACACAGATCCTGCAGCACTACATCTGATCCTCTTTTCTGTAGTTTGTAAAAAGCCAATCTTGTTCACCTGCCATGCTTCATACTGCATTATAGACATGTTAGTTCACAAAAAAAGAGATAGGTTTCCTCAACTGGTTTTTGTTTGTTCGTTTGTTTTTCAAATTTTAATTTTCAGTTCAAACAAGACAGCGAGCTTAGGCTGTGCCAACTAATCTGGTTACTACCAAAGGGGGAAAATGTTGATACTATGCCCTGCGTGAGTATCACGTACAGTATGGAAATAACCATGTTAACTGGGATCCCTTCCTGTCCTCTAAGATTCCATAGATGTACATCAGTTGGCATCCCTCATGCCAGTATATGAAGCTTCTTTTTCACACAGCAATGGAATGTACACACAGTGGGAGAGTGCATTGCCTGCTCTACTAGCTCAATGCATACATTCAGAAACAGAGTTCATCACAGAAACATCTATGGTTCTCAACTTCTGGCTCAGTTGGAAAGTCTTGGACTTGGGGCTGGCAGATGGCTCAGCAGGTGAAGGCACTTGTTACAAGACTAACTACCTAAACTGAATCCCCAGAATCCCCAAGGTGAAAAGAAAGACCTGTCTCCCAAAAAGTATCCTTAGACCTCCACACATGCCCACACACATTCTTAGTTAATTAATGAAACAAAGATGTCTTGTTTTTGCTGGGTGGTGGTGGTGCACACCTTTAATCCCAGAACTGGGAAGGCCAAGGCAGGCAGATCTCTGTGAGTTCCAGGCCAGGCTGGTCTACAAGAGCTAGTTCTAGAACAGCCTCCAAAGCCACAGAGAAACCCTGTCTCCAAAAACAAAACAAAACAAAACAAAAGATGTCTTGTTTAAAACGATTGTTTGACTTCAAATCACTTAAACAAAATGCATTCAGAATAATCTTAATTTTGTTATTTTTCCCAGGCTAGTAATATGTGACTTTTCTTTCGGGTAGCTGAAGAACCATCCATGATCAGGCACCTGAGATGAGGCTCCTACAATAGACCAAAAAAAATCCACCCAGGTGTAGCTTGATGAACCACTGAGTTTATTAGGGTGACGTATAGGCGCATAAGTGAGGGGAAATCTGCAGCCCACACTCTATGGGAGAATGTTCTGCAATGCTGTAATTTCTTATCCATAGTCATGGATTTATAACTCGGCACCATCTTGAGGGCCTGATTATTTTTTAGTTTTAGTTGACTTACATTCAAATAGCTAAGTATGTCTAATGGCTGTCATATCAGACAGCACCAGTTTTAAATACTAAACAACTGAGTATGTAATTAGGTGGCACAAAGAATTTTTTTTCTTATTAACACACCAGACCCTATCAAAAATATCTCAAAAGCTGAGGTAAGACCTTGGTACCTCGAACAACAACGCCTTTCCCAGACGGCTAGTATTCTCTTAAGTATTCATGGTTTGCAATTCATCCCTTCTTCCAGCGATCTGAACAATGTTTATTTGCTGTGGGGACCCAGTAAAAGTGTGGCGTGTGAGCTGGGAGATACTTAGTTCTACAGATGGTAGGCATGTGCATTTCTCACCTTGCATCAGGCATGATTCCTGTCAACAGTGGCACTGTTCTACTGTGACTTTTTCTTGTTGAGAAGGACTGACTGAAAGAAGCTAAGCTAATACGAGATTATCTGGTCATGCTCTGTCTCTGTTACTGTCTCTCAAGGTAAATTGAAAGAATGGTCCTTGGTCCTCTATGGCACGTCTGTGCAGCCATACTCCCCAACCAATGAGTTTCCCAAAGTAGAACGCTTCCGCTACAGCCGAGTGGAAGACCCCACGGATGACTATGGTGCTGAAGATTATGCGGGTGAGTTGGACATAACCTAAGGAAGCTCAGGCATTTTCCTGGCATGTGGAATAACATGGTGTAATTGATGTAGTGTAATATGCTTCAAAGATGTGGTACGATAGGAATTCTATTCAGCATCTATCCATAGTCTGGAATATTTCCTCCCCCCAAATACTTGTGTGTACATTCGTTTTTAAATGTTTATAGCTTTGGTTGCTTTCTCTGTCTGTAGCAACTTAGTAAGCTACTGCCTTTCACATGGTCTCTCGGCTTCTGAAACAAAGCCTCACCTATTCCTTTCCAAAGTGACTTTTATTATGCATTGTTTCACTGAAAACACTAATAAAGGGCATGGATTGCACTTCAGATATAACAGTTTTATTGCTGTTATTTTCAGAAATTGTATTCAATAATATCAGCTAAATATCTACATGCTTTGTCTTGGTAATCTGTTTATGTTTCTCCAGTTGGTTGTTTCCGTCTGGATTGGTTTGGTTTGGTGTTTAGAGGGCAGACTGAAACTGACTTTATTTTCCAAACAAAAGTTTATCATTGACTGAGCAATTTCCCCTTTTATCAGCCCTGATGCTTTCTTTACAACAGTATAGTGAGTTCTCTTATCAAGGTCTCTGCTAATTCACTACTTCTAAGTCATCAACATAAGAATTCATAAACCAGTATCACCTGCTCTAGTGTATTTCTCGATTTTAGTTTTAGGAGGGTTTTTTTAAATCCTCTTTCTCTGTCTTTTCCCCGCCTGTCCTACTTCACTTTCGGTTACTGTGGAGAATGAAGAGCAATGTGAGGATAGAAGTTAGGGCAGGAGCTGATGCAGAGGCCATGGAGGAACTCTCCCTTTTCAGACTTGCTTTCCTTGGGTTTCTCAACTTACTTTCTTATACGCCACATGCCCACCAGCCCAGGGACGGCACATCCCACCGTGGCCTGGGCACTCCCACCTCAATCAAGAAAATGCTGCATGGTACGCCCCCGGGTCAATCTGATATAAGCAGCCCCTCAGCTGAGGTTCCTTCCCTCTTCCCAGTTGACTCTGCTTGTATCAAAGCATAAAATAAAACAAAACCACTGACTTCTCCCCCTTTACTCCTCTCTTCTCCCATGCTGGGACCTGGCACACTCTGACCACATATCCTACCTTCAACCCCTGTAGTCTATTTTAATATTTGTCATGCATCTACTTCCAATTTTTATAAAGATCATTGTCCCTCCATTCTTCAGATGCAACTTTAAATGATTAAATTTGCATTTTAGTTTCCCAATTGAACTTAATTGGAATTTACATGCAGTCTTATGGGAAGACTTATTTTTGTATTAGTCCTCCATCTAAGGTAGAACATACCCCCCATTTTACTGAATCATTTAACATGATGTAATCTTCTTCTTATTGTTATACTTAACTATTTTTGGTCTTGTTGCAGTTATTTTTCATGTTGTTGCCCTTGTCATGGACAATATTCCATACTGTTCTACTTTGTATACTAGTATTTAGGAAATCTATTACACCACTGCATTGTTGTCTTTTTATCTGAACATGTTGCCCACTTTTTTATATAGCTTATGTGTTTTAAAGGCAGTTTTCTAATTGTTTTTAACTTTTATTTCTGAATCTTGTCTTGTTACATTGGCAACCAAGTCTAGGGACAGGCTGCCCTTTCAAAATATGATACATAACATCATTTGCCAAAGCTCTGCCTAATAGAGAAGTGTTTATAAATAGAAGTGTAATGTATTTTCAAACAAGAAATGTTTTATTCCTGTAGTTCATGGATTCTTCTCTTGCTACTGAGGTAAACATTTTTAGTTAATTATTTAATACAAATATGTTAAACATGAAGTAGTTTCTTTTATTGTAAATAGGTTGTGTCCTGGAGTCAACATGCTTGCATAATTAAAACCAAATGAGATAACCAGGGCTAGATTGTGTCAGCTTTTGTCTCATCTTGTTTTACTTTGAGCTTGTCATGTTATTGTTTATATTATGACTAGAAACCATTTTATCTTCAATGACAGGAGAAAGGGTATCCAAAATCGTAAATGGAACACAATAGTAAATAAGCTATTACTCTTTCTTGTATCCCAATTTTGACAAATTCAAATTCAGATTTGGTAATGTGAGAATTCTAAGCACAGGAACGCATCCTCTTTTCTGATTACATTTCTAAAACATTGATGTTGGCAATTGTAAGAGAACAAAGACAATTTTATGTCACCTTTTTCCTGGAATTCACAAAGTTGTACTGTATCTGGAACAATGTAGGATTGCAAAAGAAAGAGCATAGCATGCAAACCTGCCATACATAGACCTTTGGCACATATCACAAATACACATGTGTAGGGCTTAAACTTAAAAAATATCATCTAGTGAAAATTTAGGGCTATCTATGTATCTTTCTCTATGTCTCTCTGTGTCTCTGTCTCTCTCGTGTGTGTATGTGAGTGTGTATCTCTGTTTAACCTTCACTTTAGGCCAATCTTACTAGAGACACAAGGGACTGTTTCACTGATTCTCAAAGACTGTGACATCCACAGCTGCCTGAACTCACATAACATAGTCATCCACCCCTGGTGTACAGCAGTAGATGACTGAACTATCCCAAGTTGTACTAGCTGTGAAATTTAATTTGGAAATCAATTTAAGACTCCTGGGGAAAGAGAAATAAACAGTGTTGTCAAATGACTCTTAGAATTAATCAGGAATGCCTTCAAGCCCTCAACATTTTAAAATCACTTATTCCATTCTGACCACGAGGACATTTCAAATACATGAATCGCTTCCTTTAAATAGATCTGTACCAGACCCCTGGATGATTCTTGATCCCAGCTTTCCAACCCATGTGATGCTGGGCAAGCCATTTTAACTCTTAGGCAATCAGAGTGTCATCAGTGACTAGCACATCTTTTTCCAAGTCCTTCTGCATAAGTGCTAGCGTTTTATGTGATTCAATAATTACAGAACCTAATTCTCGAATGACTAAAAGAGACCTTGGGAGGTTTAGCAGTAAACCCCTTTGATTAAAGCAAATAGAATTCGAGTACTTGTGATTCCCTTCACCTTCATTCGCATATTTCAGGAAATTATGTATTGGTATTTACAATCACAAGAATATCTGGTGGGAAGGGGCTTGAAAATGATGAGTTCAAATATCTTAGAAATTGGAGATCAAGAAGAAAGAATAAATGCTTACCTGATTACCCATTCCATTAGATGCTCTGTGTCAGTCACAGCACAGCCCACCCCCTGACATGATTTTTGCTTACTATGAAGTGTTTCTCATATAATACCAAAGAACATCTAACCCAAGAACTTAGGAACCTTCGTCCTAGGTGTGGACTTCTTAATCTAGTTTCTAGTTTTGAGTTTATATGTCTTCTCTTTTGTTGAGCTGCCCTTTAACCTTTGGTGGGACACAAACCTAAATCTTTCTGTGCCTGAAGCGCTTTGTGATCCAAGACTAAGGGCTGTTATGTTTGTGCCGTATGCCGCAATGATATTTCATGATGGCTATAGTATTTCAGACATACTCAGTGGCTTTAATGACCTTAGACAAGATACAAAATCTGCTCTTGGTGTTAAATTATAGTTTTTTGTCAACAATCTTACTGTATATTTATTGCTGTGCATGGTAACTACAGTCATTTTTTTTCCTAACTTGCTATAGTGAACCTATTCATTTGAATCCCAAATGCCCAAATGTCTCTCCCAAAGCCCCAAGGCTATCATATGTGTTATAAACACCAGGCTATGCCTGTCATTTATATTCTTGATTCTTCAGCAATTGTTCGCCTTCAGTCAAAAGTTCAGTCTTCGGCTTATAGCTATATTGACCGTTGTTCTTCCATCTTAAAGAAATTCTCACTGCACGGTGGCAAGGGGCTATATTCTATTCCACCTTCAAGATTAAACTGACTTAGTAGCACCGTTTTCTTTTTTCTAACTACTAATCTCTTTTTGAAAGGTCCCTGTGATGCTGAATGCAGTGAGGTTGGCTGTGATGGGCCAGGACCAGACCACTGCAGTGACTGTTTACACTACTACTACAAGCTGAAAAATAACACCAGGTAAGAGACAAGTCATGTTCTCACGTGTTCCCTAAAGCATGCCCCACGTGCCCCAGGCATTCCTGTGGTGCCAACCACACAGAGCATGCATAGACAATGCTGTATTCCCAGGTTCCACTACCAACACACAGAAAGAATGTTCCTGCTAAGGCCCATGACAGGCCTGTCATTCTCAAGGCTGAAAACCATGCTGACTTACACAGTGGAAAAATGGCATATGTATTAGTTGCTTTTCTCATCACTGTGACAGATCACCTGACAGAAACAGTTTAAGAAAGAAAAAGACTGTTTTTGCTCACAGTGTGGAGAGATGCAGTCTATCCTGGCACAGAAAGCATGGAAAGCTGGGTAAAAAAGAAGTTGGTCACATCATGAAAAAAACAGAGCGATGCTGGTCAATTCTGTTGTGCAGATGGCTTTTGCTTTTCTCCTCTTTTAAATAATCTCAGGATCTTACCTGTATTCAGAGCGGATCTTCCCTTGTAGATTGAACCTCCCTGTAAATACATTTCCCAGACATATCCAGTGCTAATTAGAAATCTCTCTGGGTAGACAGTGAAGAGTAACCATCACAGGTCTACACCTGGCCAACTCAATACGAAAGAATGTCACTGTTATAGCATTGCACCTCAGGTCCTCCAAGACTCATAGCCCTCTTATAATGGAAAATACATCGAATTCTTACATCTGTAAGAATCCCCTGATCTTAACAGACCTAACAGTACTCAAAAGCCTAGAGTCTCTTTAGACTTTTTGCATATTTACTCTTAACCATGATCCCTTATAAAACCAGGTTCCATACTTCATATGTAATGGCATGAAATATACATTCTATTTCCAAATTGAAGATTTGGAGTATAGTGAAGAAAGTTCAGAGCAAAGCAAGATCAAAGCCCAGTAGAGCGAACATGGAATCCTACAGCTCTATATCTGGTGTCTGGGTCCCTTGGCACAATCTGGTGTGAGCTCCAAGAGTCTTGGCTACACCAACCCCTCCACTTCTGCCACTTGCAATACAAATTTCCTCTCTCATAAACTAGCTCCATTCATCACCTACAGCTTTCTTTTATGAACATCCCATAGTCCTGGCATCTCCAACATCCTAAGATCTCCCTTGCATCTTAGACCTTATTTTCACACAGTACCTCTCAGAGTCTCCTTACAGAGAATCTGTCCTTGCCTCCCACTGACTGTCCCCAGTGGCATTCTGTAACCTTGATATAAGCCCAAAAAGGCCAACACTGTGAATGATGCTGTCAAATTCTGCAGTGAGTTTGAAATATAGTTCTACCCCTATTTACCACAGTTGTAGTGGCCTCTGTGCCTTGGCAGTTAAACATATGATGAAAACGGTTCCCTGAGCCCATTGTTTTCAGTAGGGTATCATGTCAACAACATTCTCAGTCCAGTAGCCTCCTTTCAAGTGGGTTTGCATTTTCCCAAGTAAGAGCGTGCAGTGTGGTGTCTGTCCTTAATGGCTCTTTTCATGTTCCAGTAAGGTGTTAAGGGTTCTCTAAGACAGAGACCTCTCAAGCAATTACACCTCTATCCTTAGTGATGGTTTGGAACTGCCCTCCTCTGTTTTTCTCACTCAGGCACATTTTTCACATCTTATAGCTGTCACTCAATATACATCTGACTGAGAATAAACAGTAACCATATCACAGCATGGACATTAGGCTTCCTTACAGTTTCCTCCACCAAACAGCTGAAACTTTTTAATTGAGCCTTGCTCAGTTGTTCAGTACCCAGACTGAATGTCATGCTGCCAGAATGTGATGTAAATGACTTCTAGTGCAGGTCACCATAGAGTCCTTACCTCCCTCTGAACCCTCAGGACCCAGCCTCCATTGTCTAATCAGTTCCTATGCGGGTGTCCCATAAACTCTCCTTGGAGCATTTAAGTGCTTCAGTAGCCTGAATTACCAAATGCTCAAATGCTTCCACATTCCTCTTACGGTCCTATATACTACACTGTCAGGTTTAACACAGCAAATAACCCCACTCATAATACCAATTTTCTGTATTAGTTGTTTTTCTCAGGCTATGACAAAATACCTGTCAAAAGCAAACTAAAGAATGGCTTGTTTTGACTCACACTCTAAAGGGACATAGCTCATCAAGATACTATAGGCATGGTGGTGAGAGCATGAGGCATTTGGCCATGTTTGAGTCAGCCGTCGGGATTCAGATCAGTATAGATGCTCAGCTTCCATTCTCCTTTTCCCCCTTTTATTCATTCTGGGACCCAAGTCCATGGCATTGTGCTGTCTACGTTTGGAGTAGGTCTTCAGTTCAGTCTCTAGAAGCTATCCTCCTAGACAATTCTGAAGGTGTATCTCCTAGGTGACTACAAATCGAGTCAGGTTAATGCAGAATATATGCCATCCAACTGCAAATGCCTTCTCTCTTTTGGAGGCGTGATGAGGTGAGACCACTTAGCATGCTGGTCTTTTCCTTTAGTTCTTCCTTTTGCCAACTAGCAAGTAGAAATTACTTATTTTTATTGAATACCACATGATGTTGTACTTTGTAGGATGATTAAACCTATTATCTATAGTCTCAAATGCTTATTATTTTTTGTAATGAGAACATTTTAAATTTACCTTTTCAGCAGTTTTCAAGTATACAACATGTTGTTGTCAACTCTAGCCACCATGATGTAAGATATACCTGTTGGACTTAACCATCCTGTCTGAAGTTCTGTGTCCTTTTAGTCCTTTAGTATTTGGGACACTGATTATGTTTGTCCTTCCTGGATGTGCCAGTGCCTGGGCCAGACATATACTCTTGTTTACATCCCCTAACATGCAACCATCCATGCTGTCTCTGTTCTTAGTCTCCCACTTTAGACATTGAAATAGAGCCTATGCCTCTTAGCTCCTGGTTTCTGCCTAGCTATGTAAATATGTCCTTGTGGATTCAAGCTACAGACTAGTGCCTGCCTACACAAAGCCCATCCTACCAACACCATGTACTTTCCAGCCCAGCCCACCTTCCCATTCTCTTTCAGGTAAAACTGTACTCTAGGAACAGTGCCCAGGCACATAAGCAGATCAGCCAAGCTCAGATTCCTGTTTAAATCCATGCTAGAAGTTAAACACTTCAAGGAGACAGGTTCTCAGCTCTCGGTATTAGTGTTATCTGTTGCACTAACACACTAATGCCTGGTGTGTAATTTGTGCTCAATAAATATTTAAATAAGTGAAACCTTGCTATAGGCAGTTAAGGAATCTGGCTTTTTAAAAAACGAATGTTTCTGGTGAACAAAATTGTGTGTGTGTGTGTGTGTGTGTGTGTGTGTGTGTGTGTGTGTGTGTGTGTTCGTTTTGGTAAGAACACACCACATCTAGTTACATGTCCATACAAGCCACATGACAAGTCTCACACACAAGTGGATGGAACACCTTATTTTAATAACCTTTTCCATAAAGTTCTGACCTGTATTTGTTTTCTCTCAGATTCAACACCACAAGCTAGTTCTTGATATTCAAAATCCAATTACTATTCCTTTTCTAGAGCTAGAACTTAACTAGAAGATATCAGGCAATGAAATACCTGCTTAGTGGATGTAGTACAGTCTAACTGTAATGGTCCTCTGACTTTCTGCACAGGAAGAAGCTCTGCAGATTTGGTCTTTTTGAGTTGGTGTTGCTGTGCCAGTTGAAAATTAACCTTAAGGCTGCAGGCAGCCATCAGCTTTTCTTAGTGTTGAGTGACCATTTGTCTTGTCATCCCACGATGCAGAATCTGTGTCTCCAGCTGCCCTCCTGGCCACTACCATGCTGACAAGAAGAGGTGCCGGAAGTGCGCTCCCAACTGTGAGTCCTGCTTTGGCAGCCACAGTGATCAGTGCCTATCGTGTAAATCTGGCTATTTCCTGAATGAAGAAACCAGCAGCTGTGTTATTCAGTGTCCTGACGGGTCATACCAGGATACCAGTGAGTTGCTTTCCAATATTTGGGTTTTTGAAAACACAAGGTTTTCATTTGAGTAACTCCATACATGAAATCTGGGCTTTGCTTAGTACCAAACAGAACCTAGCCAGTTAATTAGAGAGTTACTTTAGAAGTGTTGCATAGAGGTGCCTGTAACTACCTGTAGCAGAGGACCCTCATGATCCCTCCCACCACAATGATTTGCTAGTAGACTCAGAACACTGAGGATATAACTACAGTTGGAATTTGTTAAAGCAGGATACAGAGTCAATACAGCAAAGGGAAATAGGGGAGGCTAGAGGAATCTAGAGCCATGCACTCAACGCATGTTTAACCTTCCCCAGCAAACTTCTGTGATAGCATGCGTGAAATACTACATACAAGGGAACTTCAGTAGAGACTCTGTCCCCAGTCATCATTAGGAGCTGAACAAGTAGACACTATCTTCCTGGAACACACCATAAACCATGCTGCTTGTATAATTTTCACAGTGTTAACTAATCTCATCAGAATGATGGAAACTCTCCCTAAATCCCAGGTCCCAGGAGTCAGCTGTGGGCCCACCTGATAAATAAAATGGTATTCGGACTTACTCACATCTGCACATTAACCAAACAGACTTGAAAAGATTCCAAAACATGAAATGCAGAATGAACATATGTTGGAAACATTTTACGCATTGATGAACAAATCATCTAACATGGTAATTAATGAAACAAGCAAAAGGGCTGGAAGATGATCAAGTACTGTAGTCCCCTCAGAAATGGAAAAGGAAATCCTTTTATGGAGCTGGTGAGGTGGCTCAGTGGTTGAGATTGTGAGTAAGAGAGATACAGAGGACTTGAATGACATCCACAACATCTTCCAACCACCTGTAACTCCACTGTTAGGGGATCCCGTACCTCTTCTGGCCCCTGAGGATACCTGCGTTCACATGCATGTACTGACACACAGACAGATACATAATTTGAAAGGAAGAAAATAAGGAAGCAAGAAGGGAGGAATGGAAAAGAAAAAGGGGAAGTCTTTTGTTGAGTTAGAGATGAAGCAAAGTTAGACATGGAAATATCAGTAGGTTGGGGGTGGGGGATATTTATTTCTTACAGCCAAAACATCTCTTTACTAAGCAGCAATCTATACATTAATGTGTAACTTCTCAGAGGTTGCCCTTATTAACAGTAATTAACAAGTAGGCACAAGGTAATTAGTTTGTGGTCAGACTTTGCTTCAGTATAGCCCTCCCAGGGTTGTAGGTATCTCTGGCTTTGTTTCTGAATTCTAGATAATTTGTCGCATACCACACACAGTCTATGATGTTGCTGCACAACCTGAGAAAGTTTTCTCTTTAAAGATTGGACAAGAAGCCTTGCCTCTTCAGAATTCGAATTCTCAGGTTGCAAGATGGTCAGCAGGCAAAAGTGCTTGCCAAGCAAGCCTGACAGCCTGAGTTCAATGTCCAGAACTCAGTGTGGAAGAGATTAGGCCTCCAAAGAGTGTCCTCTGACCTCTATGTGTGTTCCTGCACTCATGCCACACACACATACACACATGCGCACATACATACACACACAATCACACATGCATGCACATGCATGCATACACATGGTAATAATAAAGAATTAATTTTTACAGAAGTGAAATCATTTATTCAAAAGTGAACATTTCTCTAGTGAGTAATAGGGACTCTCCTGAGGTTATATTTGCCTCGAAATTTGGAACATGACTTTTACCTTGATAGGGAAAATAAAATTTAGAAGAAGAGAGTCACAGAAGACTTCTACTGCTTTTGTTACAGTTTCTCCCTCTAGTAAGCCTATTTACATACAGCACAGTGATCAGATAACAGCGTGGCTACTAATAATTACTGAGAACACATTTCACAATGATTTATAGTTGATCTTTTCCCCTTGAATGATCTCATTACCTTGCTAAGATAAGCTGAGAGGTAGAGTCCACTGTAATCTTCACTCAAGAGCTCAGAGTCTAGAGACACTGAACTTGCCCACTAGAAGAGTTGGAAGCAGATTATAAATCCTAGGCCTGTAACTTCAGGTCAAAGTCCAGAATCTACTTCCTTAATGTCACAGTAAGGGCTGCAGTGTCGCTGCTAAAACACTGAAAACATCTGAAAGATACAGAATATTCAGTGGGTCCGTATGGAAACCTTTCTCCATGAAACCTTGATGAACATCAACACTTAAAAGAGTAGAGAGAGGAGAAGCCTGTGAACAACATTTTGTTTGTTTCTGTGTAGACAGATAGATAGATAGATGATAGATAGATATAGAGATAGTAGATGATAGATAGATAGATGATAGATATAGAGATAAATAGATTGATAGAGATAATAGATGTTATTATTACCATCTGTCATAATATAGCATATACTCAATTTCCAGCAAAAATTTAACAAAGGCTAAAGGCTTTTGTTCATATACCAAGTCACTATTTTCCATGATAAAGCCATAGTGTTTGCTGGTTTTTTATTGTTTTGTTTGTTTGTTGGGGTTTTTTCACAATATGGACATGGGTTTGTTATTGAATAAGATTTATTATGTATCTATTCCAACTAATACACTTCTACAGAGCCTAGATGTATTTAGAACATGATCATGTTTTATCCATTCCACAGCAGCTATCACATATTCCACTATTTGAGATGAGGCCCTTACCTTGAAATTTTTAGAACTTTAGTATCCATTCCCTTTTCTGCCACAGCTCACCAGACGGTCCTAAAAGCTTTGGGCAGGAAGGTACAACACCCCATGTCCACAGCATCTCCTTCATTGCTTAGCAATATTGCCCTCACCACATCAGTGGGATTTCCTGTTTTTGAGTTAGGAAACTCTGCTTTGAAAAGAAAGTTGAAAGAAGTGAGAACTATCAAATTTTCAACTGAGGGTTTCTATAGTCTATCTACATTGTGCCACACAAGTGCCTGGCACTTCCTAGTATAGCAGTTGATGCCATGAGGTTTTCAGTGCAGCTTTCTAGATGGCCCAGAGGCGGTACAGGGCTCATTAGTCAACACTGGAGCATCTCCATTCTTTTATGGAATCCAGTTGACTGGCATATAACTTGGTTTTCTTTCTTTTTTTTTTTTAACAGAGAAAAATGTGTGCGGCAAATGCAGTGAGAACTGTAAGGCATGCACTGGATTCCACAACTGCACGGAGTGCAAGGGCGGGTTAAGGTAAGAGAGAGAGACCCAGCAGGAGACACCTCCGCCCAGGGAGCTTTGCAAACCAAGCCAAACAACCGAAGCACTTCCCTGTTATTTGGATTATTGATACAATTAGATATGGAAAAATGGGACGCCATCTTGGCTAAGGAAGGATTATAAACCAAATAAATTCCCTATAAAGAAGACTCGGTGGCTGGACAGATGGCTCCGCGGTTAAAGAGCATTTGCTGTTCTTGAAGCAGACCCCGCGACTGATCCCCAGCTCCTATGTGGTAGCTCCCAGCCGTCTGTAGTCCCAGTTCCAGCAGATCCGATGCCCGCTTTTGACTGCCACAGGCACCTGGCACACACATAGTACACTACATGCATGTAGGTGAAACACTCAAACACAAAATAAATAAATCTACAAAAAATTTAAATTAGGAAAGAAAGATGACTCAGATATAAGTAAAAATGGCCACTTGAGAAGCATCCCTGATACATTTTGACCGGCAATGTGCTAGTCGACAATGACTGGGCAGATAGTGCCAGTCAATGCTATTTAATCTGCCTGATTAAATTCTCAATGGTGGAAAGTTATTTCCTTATCTTTATTATTTCTCTACACATCCCCAGTCATTCGCTTATCTTAAGTACCTCAGCTTCGGTTCCATTAGACTATCTGCGGTGTGCACATAGATTTAACACCAGGGGATGTTTTCCTCGAATTGGTGGTTTTCTCATTGCCAAAGCTGGTAGTCAGTAGACTGTAAGAGAGCAATGTACAGCACAGATGACTGAAGCCTCTTTCCTGGGGAAGAGGTCAGACACTTCTGTGCTGAGCCACATGCAGGGCTCTGGCTTTGTATGGAGGTAGAGCTCTACAGTGATTCCTCTCAGGTAGTGACAGGGCTTTTCATTCATCCCATCTTTGATCAAAAGTGAAGTGGCATAGTATAGGTAGTTCCCGGGCAGGTGTCCTTGACACTTGTCAGTATTGAAACATAATTTACACCTATTGATTACCTATGTCGTTGTTCGTTTTCATAAATGTTCGTAGTTACTTAGTGTCTTGCTTCTCGGTACTTGATAATCTTGATAAATACAAGTCTGCTCAACTGCCTGATCCTCCTTTTTAATTTTTATTTTATGTGTATGCATCTTTTTCTGTGCATGCTTACACACCATGTATGTGCCTGGTGCCCATGGAGTTCAGAAAGGGCACCCCATGTCCTGAGACTGAGTTATAGACAGCTGTAAGTTGCCATGTAGGTGCTGGGAATCAAACCCAGATCCTCCGGAAGTGCAGCCAGTGCTTGAAGCAGCTCAGCCATCTCTGTCCTCACTTAATTCTTCTTAAAGGAACAGTGGAATGGTTTGGCAGAAATCCTCTTCCGCCGTTTGTTAATTGTGGTTTTGGGCAAGTCACTTAACCGCTGTTGTCTTCCATTATTCTCATTATAAAATGGTGAGACTGCTTTGCCAAGCTATGGTAAAGTTTAAAGTGAGGACTTTCATGTACTTACATCTGGTACATAATTAGTCCTCGGGAAATGAAAGACTGCTGAGCTTGCTTATTTCTTAGAGAATATTTTATGGAATAAGTTAAAGCAGAGCACACAGCAGAACTGTGAGAGCCACGTATGTAGTTGTAAATGTGCCAGTAGCTGTATTAAAAGGGGTAAAAAGCTATAGGGGAAATGATTTCAATAAAATATTTTACTTAGCCTGGTATATCCAAAATAGTATCATTACACGTGGCCAACATATAAGAAAACTATTTGTGAGTTACTCTACATCCTTTATCGGTATTATTAACTCTTTGAAGTCTGGTATGTATGGTTTTAACAAATGTCTAAGAGTTAACAATAATGTTTATAAGAAATATCTGTATTAAGATTCTTTTAAATCTAATGGAGAGAACAAATTTTATTAAGTCACCCTATTCTAAATGTGCTAAGTTTGCCAGTAACTGAATCTAGCAGAAGCCTTTTTCAAATATAGACATACATTAACTAAAGCTGAATGAAAACTTAAAATGCAGTTCCTTCCTAGCACTAGCCCCACTTCAAGGGCTCAGTAACCAAATAAACAGCGCAGGCCTGAACTAGCAGGCTTATGCAAGAAGGAATGGAGGCAGCTGTGAGCAGGGCTGGTGGGCCTCACGATAAATACATTTTGGGAGCAGCTGACTGCTCAGAGTTCAGTGACTGCTCTCAGTGGCCCACCCCTTCCTCCATCAGTCCCTGCACAGGGCAGCCTCTGTCTCCTGCTGAGTGGAAGCCAAGCTCGGAAGGCTGTCCTTTCTTGGAGAGCCAAGGCATCTTTTCTAAAACTGTGCTACATGTTTTTGAGTGGTCCTTACTGCATTCCACAAAAGGATTTATTTGATGCACTATGCTCTCCTCTAGAGCTGGAGGAAGGGAATGAGGTCTTCCTTGGCAGCTGGCCAGCAAGCTCTGAGAATGGCAGGGACATGAGCTCTGTGACAGGGACATTCTTATGGTGAAGCTGCCCTTTGTCACATCGAGGTTCCTTCCTAGGTGCTTGTGGCTGCGCATTTGACCTCAGAAGACCTGTGAATTTTAACCTAGTGGCTAAGAACAAGTAGGAGGAAAAACCTTTGCCCAAAGTCCAGAAAGAACATGATTAAAATGTTAACAGGAGTGTTTATGATTCTCTTCTTCAGCTACTTTATTTTTGTACTTTCCCAGTTTCTTGAGTGAGTAGAGGGTGAGGTAAACTTCAGTTTTCAAAATTAATATGACCCATATCCAAACAGCCCTCTAGGATGTAAATTGGAGCAATACAGAGTATAAAAAAGTAGAAACCATTTGACCGTGTCTCAAACATACAACATTGTCCAATAGAATCAATTTGATAACAAAGATTACACCCGCTCTCTTTCAGTTTCCATTCCATAATATTTTATATGAAATAAAATAAAATCTATGTATATTTTTAAGTTTAAGAACCAAGCTCTTAGCTTGGTGTGGTGATGTCATCCCATAGGCCAGAAGGTCATCTTCAGTTACATAACTAGCAAATTCAAAGCTAAGAAGGCTACATGAAAGCCTGTCTCAAAAGTTAATCAGTTAGTTAATGAATTAAACTGTAGGCTATGAGAAATGTCATAGCTGACAGAAATTTGAAAGATTTTAGGTTTTCTTTTTATATTTTAGAAACTCAGATATGTCTCATAGTAGTAGCTAGAGAAGCAGAAATTTCAATGAATCGTTTAATATTGTAAAAATACCTCCAGAAAAAACTAAAACATGATACCACCAAGAAAAGTAAAGATGTTTACAAAGTTGCATTTTGCTGCTTACTCATTAGAGTGGCTTGAGTGAAGTGTGATAGGATATTGCCATCCAAAGAATTGTTTTGTCAGTGTTTATTGTCTCATTTCTTTATGGGTTTGAGTGTTTTGCCTGCATATATGTATGTGCACCACATGCACAGCATACCCACAGAGGCCAGAAGAAGACATCAGATCTGGAACAGAAAGTTGTGAGCAGTCATGTGAGTGCTGGGAACCCAAAATGGTTCTTCTGCTAGAACAAGTGCTCTTAACCACTGAGCCATCTTTCTACCGATTGCTAACACTTCTGAAGACTGTTAGATATTGAGTATGGATGAAATATGCCGGACTACATAACAAAGTCAAAAGAATGTCCCTTAGGCTTAGCAGCACATATTTGTGCTGCAAATGTCATTACAAGTACCAAGAAAGGTGTAGGGCCATTTTCCTTGTCTTGCAGCTTTACTAAGTCTGTGGTCTGAGGGGAGACTGTGTTTGTTACATGTGGAGTCTGGATGTCATAGCCACTTTGTCATGAGGACAACAGTCTGTTTACAGCGAATCTGTGTTTCTCCCAGCCTTCAGGGGTCCCGCTGTTCTGTCACCTGCAACGATGGACAGTTCTTCAATGGCCATGATTGCCAGCCCTGCCACCGTTTCTGTGCCACCTGTGCCGGTACCTTCTCCTACTTCTCCCCTTGTTCGCCTTCCTGTGCTTTTTGTTTTATTTGGCCCTAGCCAACTTTCATGTCACACTCAGCTACATGAGTTTCAAGTAAGTGTAGAAGGACACATTCCTCCTGATAATTATGCATCAATTCTCACAGAAAGCCAGTCCTCAGCGCCTTGTCCTCACTGAGAAACTTAAATATCTCAGAGATGTCTTTTTCTTGGAAGAACGGGTGTTCTTGGCAAATGGGCTCAGTTAAAAACACAAGAGTCCCTCCCAGGCCCACTGAAGGAAAGTAAGAAAGAGGACGAAGTTATAACTTCAGATGGTGGTATATGGGTGGCTTTCACAGACTGCTATGGAATTCCATACTCCAGTCTCTTCTGAGGCTTTTTTTTTCCTGTTTCTTGCATGTGCCTTGCACTGAAGGGGCTGGAGCAGATGGGTGCATTAACTGCACAGAGGGTTATGTCATGGAAGAGGGAAGATGTGTACAGAGCTGCAGTGTGAGTTATTATTTGGATCATAATTCAGATAATGGATACAAATCCTGCAAGAGGTAAGTCCATCTGATCTGTCCCTAGACTTGATATCTGAGTTCTTTGTAGAGCTGCCTTCCTATGTAATGAGAAAACTGAGATTTCTTTAATGGTAAAGTACGCTTCAGTCACATGCTTTGGACAATGACCTGCAGAATTGGTTCATGTTACCTAGTATTTGAAATGCCTCAAACCACCTTAAAGATTTCAGTATATTCATGTTTGTAGTACGTGCCTAGAAGCCAGAGGTCAACATCAAGTGTCTTCCTAAATTGTCCTTTTTTTTCTGAGATAAGGTCCTTCACCAGTTTAATTAGATGGTCAAGCACATGCCCCCAGGATCTATCTCCCTTCCCAGTGCTACGATTATACAGGCACAACACAATACCTGCATTTTTACATAAGTGCTGGGGATCTGAACCTTACCAAATTGGCCATATTCCCAACCCCAACTCCGACTCACACATACCTTAGAGTTTTTTAAATAATATTTCTATTCCAAGACATGTTTTGTCCCCTTTGGTACCATTGTGTACCATGTTTCTTCTAATATTATCAAACCTAACAGCTATTGTAAGAAAAGATTTTTTATCATCTTCAAAGGAAGAATTAATTTTAAAATGTTAAGAGCTTGTTGGTAAATAAACCTCCCCATGCAGATGAAGAAGAGATTTAATAAATAGTGCATTTTGCCCACAGATGTGATAACAGCTGTTTGACATGCAATGGCCCAGGATTCAAGAACTGTTCCAGCTGCCCTAGTGGGTATCTTTTAGATTTAGGCGTGTGTCAGATGGGAGCCATCTGCAAGGATGGTGAGTACAGCTATGTGATTCTGTGATCTTCCCACTTTACAGACTAATGCATTTCCTTCTGTTTTAATTTAAAAAAAAAACTAACAAGCATGCATCTAACAGGAAATACTCAGTATCTTGTTGACATTCACCTTGAATTTACACCTTTAATGGGTCATGTTGCTTTGTATTATTTTGCTACCGTTGTTTAAAGACAGAATCATACTGTGTAACTCAGGCTAGCCTCAAATTCATGTCCTATTGCTTCAGCCCCTTAAGGTCGTAAGTGTATACCGACACACTCCGCTGTGTTTCTCTTTGTTTTTCTTTTTTTTTTTCATTTTCTGATTTTAGGAAGAAATAAATGACCTGCAATCCCAAGATGGTTCCAGTTAGTTATTTTAATTCAAGTTAGCTTTCCCTACATAAAAAAAAATTGAGTATAGACTGGAGATTGCCCTTGCACTCCAAGCCTACTCATGAGCATACAATGACACATCATTATCATCCAAGTTCATAGCTTACATTAGCATACATTTTGGCACTAAACCTTCATTGTGTTTGAACAGGCATACATGATATGTGTCTACCATTCTCACGTCACGCAAGATAGTTTCACTGAACTAAAAATAACCTGTGTTCTGCCATTTGTCATCCTGCCCTGCCCCCAATTCCTATGAATTTCTGATTTTTTTTACTATCTCCATAGAGACTTTCTTTGCAAACATCTTTTGAATAATCATATACTATGTAGCCTTTTCTGGTTGGTTGGATTTTGAATTGTTTCTTTCCAGTTTTTTGTCATATGGCCCTTTGATGCCTCATACATAGAACTTTACATACTCCTTTGAGTACTAAGCCTTTGGCATAAATATCTCCTAAGCCCTATGTTTTATAAATTTGGGGGCATAGTATTTAATCACATAAATGTTCTCTAATACTTGCCACCTTCTGGTTATTTGAATTTTTTATGATTTAGATCTGTGACTCCTAATCAAACAATATCAGAGTATTTCATGAAGTATGTAAGGCTAGGAACTAATATTCCAGCAAGAAAGATTGTCCAAGTGTTGGACCAGTCTGCTTTTCTTGCCATTAATGGTTTTTATCCAAAATTCTGGAACCAACACCATCCCCTGAGATTCTGATTGAATTGTGCAGGATAGAGTCTGACATGGATATTTTTAGAAACTTTTAAGTGTTTCTAATTTGAGCCTGGTTTATGGAGCCATTTCCCCTACCAGCTTGGCAACTGCCATGTTCATTCATTTCTGTGGACTTCCTGGCTCCACCTGTAAATTCAGCATATTTCAATTATTCCAACATCAGCAATGGTGAATTTTGACTCTTCGCATAAATCATGCTGAGGAGACCCTAAATATCGTACATAAACTTTACATATAAAGTACATCCCAACAGAGAAATCAATCATATTTGAACTATCATTCAGCATGTTCTTTGGAGACTGCATTTAGAATAGTCTTGGCCACAAGGGCCAGCCCTAGGAAAAGGCAACCTGCACTGTGTTTGGCTGAATGTGGAGTTAGGAGTCTATGCTGTATTCAGATCTCCACTCCAGACGTGAAGGAGAACACAGCTCTGACCCTGCGTGGTTATTTCACAGCTTACTGTTAGGAATCTCAAAAGGACATGGCAGGAAGGGAGCACGTGAGGCCACTGATACATGAGGACATTTGTGGTCTTATTTCCTTGAAGCATCTAGGTGGCTGCAATCTTCATCATATTTCTAATGAACAGGTAGTATAGCAGGACAGGCTCAGCCCACCCCACTCTGTGCTTTTAGATCCTGCCAAGGGTAATTCTGAGTGCCACACTCTAGAGTAAGAAGCCTGAAATGGAGGAACCAGGGCCATCTACAAATTGGTTTTCAGTTGCCAGCATATGTCTTCCTACCTGAATTTTAAAAACGTGGTTCCTTTGTACTGGAATACAACCAGACCTTTAAGTGTTTGACAGTCACAAGACATCTACCTTGAAGTTTTCTCCTCTAGCATTTGATACAAGGCACCTAAAGTTAACGATGTACTAACCCTTGCTAAGCCATGCTGACCATAGGCCATGTCACACCAAATGGCAACTTGGTCAGAGGGAAGTATGATGAAGAGCCATAGTTTGCAGTGAGGCTACTTCCAGGCCTGTTGAAGAATGAGGTTCCTTGAGCCTTCAGTCACATGGCAAATGCTCTTAAGGACTACTGTTTGCTCCTTTTCAACTGTCATAGTTCCATGATTCTAAGATAATTCTTTTGCAGTTCAACATTTCAGAAATCAGATATATCTGGTCATTTATGACACCTCACTACTACATCTCATCAGGCTGATGAGATGTGTCACTGCCTGGATCTGACACTTAGCCACAGAGGTGTGCGTTCAGTTGAATGAAGCATGTGGATCCTGGCTTTCATGTGTCATTTAACAATCATTCAAATGAGCATCAAAGAACTACACACAGAGTATCATATCACATACTGTTAATAAAAATAAAATTGAAATTCCAGTTGCTACCGGAATATAGTATCACAGTGTAAGCATTGTTACCTTTGTGATACTGAAAAAACAGTGAATGTTAAACCGTGTGTCTTAGAGTCAATGGAATATGGCCCAAATGACTGTATATTTTCTGCTCTAGATAGTTCTGAGAAGAAAAGTTCCTTGCTTGTGATATTATTGATTTCTAATTTATTCTTTTTCCAATCTCTTTTCCCTTTCATAAATGGATACCAATCACATTTACTGCTGGACTGCAATATTTCTCCTTGAAAACATTGCTGTTGACTGAAATCACTTTGGGTGGACCAAATTCCTTCCCTGTTGACTGCTCCTGAATGACCTCTTCCAACTCCCCAAATCTACCTCTTTGGCCAATCAAAAACCTCCTTCCGTGTGTCCTGCTGCTCTCGACTCCACTTCCCCTCTTTCTTGCTGACTTCTGGAAAAGCCACGGAAGAGTCCTGGGCAGAAGGAGGCTTCTGTATGCTTGTGAAAAAGAACAATCTGTGTCAGCGGAAAGTTCTACAACAACTGTGCTGCAAAACATGTACATTCCAAGGCTGAGCAGCCGCCTTAGATCCTTGTTCCTGTAGACTTATAGATTATTCCATATAATTAAAGAGAAAAAAAGCCAAAAACTGCAAACCACCTCTCTCTTTCTTGCTATCATTTTTCTCTCTCTCTCAAATATGTGCAGGGAGATGGTGAACTGTTTTGTCAAAACTTAAGTAGAAAAAAGAAATAAATAAGCCTACAACAAGCCTACCTTTTAAAACTGGATGTTTAGTGCTAAACAGCCAGAATCACAGAGACAGTATTGTATTACCAAAGTATTTGATGCCAAAATTTGAAGTTAAAGTAATAATTTGATTTCCTGCCCTGGTTTGAAGAACCATTTTATTCCTTTGCATTCACTTTCTCATTTCTCCTTTAAAATGCCTAAAAATGTTTTTTTCTGAAAGCATCACAAAAGCACACATAGATCAAAATGAACAGAAAGCTTTTACATCAGTCATTTTTCTGCAGCTGGGGGAAATGATGGGAAACTGGACCTTAGGATACCAAGAACTTCCTACAGAGTGTGTTCAGTGTCCTCGTCTTAGCACTACACAGTTCCATGGTGATTTCCCACGCGTCACTGGCTTTGTATGTCATGCACTGGTTTTTTGCACTTTTCTCACTGATGAGTCTGCTCCGTTGGCTCCATCAGGTAGACTTTCTGCCACTGGCTTTCCAAACACTATCAGTTGGATTCTTTTCCACACAGCTGATAAAATGGATGGTTCTGTAGATGGTAGAAGCATGAGGTATCCAGAAGGGTTACAGCTGACTCGGGTCCCCTGAAGCCCAGAGAGTCATTCTGTAGACCTGGTGCAACCTCTTGGTGCTATCTAGCCATTTCCCCCATAGTATTTTTTAAAACTGTCACCAGGAATTCCATTTGTCATGATGGGAAGCATCTGAGATAGGATGCAAGAAATTTCTTCCTGTGGTCAAAAGTTCCTAAGAGGTCCTTTTTTTAAGAAATGGAATTTATTTAAATAATATTTAAGCTCATGCATACACTGGTGGAGCAGTGTTTCTCAATGGTGCTGACTACGAGCTGTCTCATCCTGTCATTTTAAGAAAATAAAACTGGAAATTGAGTGTAGGTGGTACGATTGCACCCTCCTGGTTCTGTATTTTCTCACCCTTCTGTCCCTCAATAACTGGGACCATGCTCTCCTGCACCTGTCCACGGAATGTCACCGAGGTAGCGTTGTTCTGTCTGTTCCTCTGATTCAAAATGTGTTCACTGGTTTTCTGTGACTCAAAAACATGTCATGGAATCTAGAATACTGAACTGTAGAGAAACTACGTTGGATCTGTGGTTGAAAATGATGAAACCCGATATATCTTTTTACAGTTCCTCTGAGAGTAACTAAAACCAAGCTCCTTCCTTTTTCCAATCAAATCTCCATAGTGACCTCATTTACTTGCAGCCTGACCAGGTATTCTCAGGCTCTCAACTTTGAAAAGCTACACTTCTGAGATGTCGTAGCTTCAGTGCTAAAAAGAGAGAGGTGATCTTGGGAAGGAGCTGGGATTTGTATGATAAAGTCCCTGCTCACACAAACAAGTAGTAAATAACCTGCCATGAAAAATCTCCCTAGACAGGAAAATTCACTTCCAGCTGCCCGGAGATAATGAGTAATTGGTCTATTGAACCCTTTAATAGCATCATAATGTTACTGAGTCACATGATTCACTAGTAACTGGCAGGTTATGCGGGGCAACTTTTCCCCTTTAGAATGTGGTAGGCTCTTCTGACACAAAGAGCAAAGGGAATCTTGATTAAGGAATATTATTCTGCTTACATGTAAGTGAACATTCTTTAAATGAACAAATTTAAACACTAGCCAGGCAGAGGAAAAAACTAGATTCACCTGCAAAGGAATCCAGCTGATTAGGCAGGTCTATACTACTAGAGGCACTCAGTGACAATGAAACAAGAGATAAAACTGAAGCTTT